TGTCCTGGGTGCTCACTCTCCTCTTTCCTCCCCCCCGGGGCTAGTTCTGACACTGGGGCTGGAGCGGGAACTCAACCCCTCGGGGTAAAGGAGACGGGCCCAGGAAATTTTTCCCCCCAAGCTATACGCCCCCGCACGGTGGAGAGACCCCCCCCCCCCCCCCCCCCCCCCGGAGGAGGAACAGGTGTGTGTGACGCGGCAGCTCCTTCGTCTCCTCACTGCGTCTCCCGTCCCCAGTGAGTTTGTGAAGGAGGAGTTCAGCCGCGGGATGCTGCGCAGTAAGACGGTGGAGGACATCCTGACCCCGCTGAAGGACTGCTTCATGCTGCCCAGCTCCGTCGTCCTGGACTTCTCCACCATGTCCGACATCATGCAGAGCGGATACACCCGGGTGCCCATCTACGAGGAGGAGAGGTTGGCACGGCAACGGCCCCAAAAAACGTTACGCGCCGAAAGACGCAGTCGACTACTTCTGTGACTTTCTCGTCCCAGATAGGAGCGCTGCCCTTTAACTATCAGTAATATTATGAGAAAGACATTTTACACACATTTTAAGATTGTAAATTTAAGAAAAGAAGAGAATATGTTGGAAAAAAGTTTTAAATTTATGAGAAAAAATAGTGTAGTGTATTTATAAATTAAAAAAAAAAAATTTAAAAAATTAAATTATAAACATTTATAAAATGTATAAAACTACAAGTTTATGTTTAAACTTTCCATGATGAAACAAATAATGTGTTATTGTTTAAACCTTCTCTGCTCTTCACTTATTGCTGTTTGTTTAGTGACCCGTGACAGCTACACACACACACACACACGCACACGAAAGAACAGCTTTCAGTGACACACACCGACCTCATGGACTTGTGTGTTTGGTGTCCAGGTCCAACATCGTGGAGATCCTGTACGTGAAGGACTTGGCTCTGGTGGACCCGGACGACTGCACTCCCATGACCACCATCACCAAGTTCTACAACCACCCGCTGCACTACGTCTTCAACGACACCAAGCTGGACGCCATGCTGGAGGAGTTCAAGAAAGGTGCCCTTCAAAATAAAAAATATATTAAGAAAATAAAAGCCCCAGAAATGATTTGTATCCTCACAGGGCATTTTAGGATGAGACTTGTTTTACCAAATGGAAGCATCTAAATGTCAACTTGCAACTAGCAATGGTGATGGCTTTTCAAAATAAAAGCCCCAAAAGTTCAATAGAAAAGTCAGTTCAAGCTTTGCCTTTTTAAGCTTCCTTTTATTGGCTACCCATCCAGTCCTGTCCCATCTGATTCTGCTCCCCCTCTCCACACCTCTTAAAGATACCCCCCCCCCCCCCCCCCCAGAAAGTAACCACTTTTGACCTTGTGTTAAAACCTGCACAGGTTAAGTTAAAAATGAGCCTTGACGTGACCTCTCCGTGACCTTTCCTCTCTTAGGCAACTCTCACATGGCCATCGTCCAGAAGGTGAACAACGAGGGGGAGGGGGACCCCTTCTACGAGGTGCTGGGATTGGTCACCCTGGAGGACGTCATCGAGGAGATCATCAAGTCAGAGATCCTGGACGAGTCCGACGGCTACCGTGAGTTTGTTTTATCCGGAATGCGTTCATTCATGTCTCGTTGTTGAATCCTCGCGACCTCCTTCCCCCAGTGGAGCGGAAGGTGAAGCGTCCTCTCGCCCCGCTGGAGATTCCTCTGGAGCCTCGCAGCGTCCACGAGGACTTTTCTCTCTTCAAGCCCCCGGAGGGAGAACCCAAGATCAGGACGTCGCCTCAGCTGCTGCTGGCTACACACCGCTTCCTGTCCAGAGGTGAGATGCTCAGGATCTCCTGCCTCAGCATCCAGTTCTTCACGTGTTAAAGCTGCATTCTGTGCAGTGACCAGCAGGGGGCGACTCCTCTGCTCCCATAGACGTCTATGACAAAATGACTCTACTTCTCTCTTGATTTATTCCCTCAGTAAACATTGTAAACATGAGTTTATGGTCTCAGTCTCTAGTTTCAAGTCTTCTTCAATACAGCATGATGTTCATTTAGTGATTTATGGTCCATTTAGAGTCAAACAGACCATGAAGAGCTCAATCTCTAAATGTTACACTGTGGGAAAGTTTGAATAATTCTTCTTCTGTGAACAAATCCTGCATGCAGCTTTTTTGTTATTTCTGTGACTATTCTTTTAGAAGAAGAAGCAGAACTTGCATGTAGCAGTTGATTGATAACTTATTGGACTGAAGCGTCACGCGCTGATGGACTCGGTCACAGTTTCACTCCACACGCGTAATGATTACGTTCCATGTTGCTTATTCTAAGAGTGAAGAAGCCGTTTGTCCCGACATTGTACCTCACGTCGCTGCCCGTGTCTCCTGCCCAGAGGTGGCTCACTTCAGCCCCGGGCGCATGTCCGAGAAGGTCCTGTTCCACCTGCTGCGTCACCCCAGCGTCAACCAGGAGGTTCCCTTCGACCCGAACAACCGGCTGAGCGCGGCTCACTACCTGTACACGCGCAACCACCCGGTGGACTACTTCATCCTGCTGCTGCAGGTCAGTGAGCCTCTGAGAGCCTCTGAGGCCCGTTGCTCGTCCGTCCCACAGAGCGGCAGGAAGAAGACGTGGAGCGCCGTCACGTGACCTCTGGCTGCTTCCTGTTTGCGGTGCTCAGGGTCGCGTGGAGGTGGAGATCGGGAAGGAGGGGCTGAAGTTCGAGAACGGAGCGTTCACGTACTACGGCGTGTCCGCGCTGACGCTGCCCTCTTCAGGTGAGCAGGAGGACTATTGATCTCCTTCATGGTGACGTCATCGCGACGGCTTCAACGTTGATGACGCGTTGTTGTATTTTATGAATGAATAACGATTCGTGGCGAGACAAGAATCACTCGGTTTGTCCGTTTGATCGTGATGACGCAGCTTTATTCACTCCGTGTTTCCATAACCGAGGTTCAAAAAGGAGGAGAAGAAGAAGCAGGACAGCAGATGTTGTGCTGACTCATTGTGTGTGTGTGTGTGTGTGTGTGTGTGTGTCTGCAGTGCACCAGTCTCCCTGTGTCGACCCAGTGTCTCTCTCCCAGGGATCCCTTCGAGTCCGCCGACGCCACAAGTCCGTCCAGCTATTGTCCCGACTACACCGTCCCGAGCCCTTCAGCGACCTGGCAGCTCA